CCTTGGCAGTCTCAGGACGGCACTGCTGCGCGGAGCCATCGAGGACCAGCGGCGGCGCGCCGAGCTGCTGGAGCAGGCGCTGAGCAACGCGCAGGGCCGGGCGGCGCGGGCGGAGGAGGAGCTGCGGAAGAAGCAGGCCTACGTGGAGAAGGTGGAGCGGCTGCAGCAGGCCCTGGGGCAGCTGCAGGCTGCGTGCGAGAAGCGGGAGCAGCTGGAGCTACGTCTGCGGACGCGCCTGGAGCAGGAACTCAAGGCCCTGCGTGCGCAGCAGGTGAGCCGGGAAGATGGGCGGAGGTGGCAGAGGTGGCGCAGCATCGGAGGAGGCCAGTTCTGAAGCTCCTGCTCAGATCCAGGCCCAGACCCTCGGGAAGCCAGGGTGATCTGTGCCAGCCCTGCTGAGAGCCCCTCCCGACCACCAATCGTCGCAGAAGCATTGCCACTTGGCTGTGTACCGACCTTGGGGACTTAAGACTTAGGCTTCTATTTAAATAGCTCTCGTGTTTATCAGCTAGAGAGAGTTCTGTCTCCACTCTCAACCGCACCCTTCCCACAGCAGTAAGGTGACCAGACCTCCTGGATTGCCCAGTTCTGTCCTGATTTATACCTGTTGTCCCAGAGTCATTATTAAGAGCACCCCTTCCCAACTTGAAGGATAACTCACATGGTCACCTATGCAAAGGCAGACCTGATCTTTCCAGAGGATTCAGGGCAAGGGTGTGGGGACCCATGCTCCTCCTGTGTCTCTGGGTGGAACGGGTGTGGGGAGAGTGTGCCGTGGAGGTGAGGACTGATGGCCGCTGTACCCCAGCCATTGCCCCTGACCACAGTGCTTTCTCTGCAGAGACAAGCAGGCAACCCCGGTGGTGGCAGTGGCAGTGGTGGGTCCCCAGAGCTCAGCGCTCTGCGGCTGTCAGAGCAGCTACGGGAGAAGGAGGAGCAGGTCCTGGCGCTGGAGGCTGACATGACCAAGTGGGAACAGAAGTATTTGGAGGAACGTGCCATGAGGCAGTTTGCCATGGATGCAGCCGCCACGGCCGCCGCCCAGCGCGACACCACTCTCATCCGACACTCCCCCCAGCCCTCACCCAGCAGCAGCTTCAATGAGGGCCTGCTCACTGGCGGCCACAGGCATCAGGAGATGGAGAGCAGGTGGGGCATCACAGGCTGGGTCGGTGCACCTGGGCGGGGGGTGAGGGATGGCGCTGTCCAGTCCCTGCCCTGTCATTAATCCCTGATAAACGTCCCTTGCCCCACCAGCCCAGCAGTCCCTCCTGCTTCTGAGCTGAGCCCCAGTGCATTTGACACAGCTGGCACTGTACATATGTTACAACCGAGTGCATGGGCTGCCCGAGGAGACCCCACTGTCGGATGCCATCCAAGGCTCTGGGCCTCTACCCGCTCCACCTCCCCTGTGTAAATCAGCGGGAAGGGTCCCACTGTGTACCACCCTAGAAGGAATGTGGACTAGGCCCTTGGTCTGAGAGTAGCTAGTATTTTATCTCCAAGAAACAATCTCATAGGCCCCATAAGATTTCCATATGACCCATGCCTAACTCAGAAGCTCAAGGACATGAACCGAGCCCTGGGGGGTTGCCTTCCAGGACCGGGATGGTGCCATTGATGTCATCAGGTGTACCCAGAACCCATCCCTTTGATGACCAGCCTGCCTTTGCTGGTATAAGAAAGGCCCAGCACCTCATGCACTGGTAGTCAGAGCATCAAATTCCAGAGTTGGGATGGCATTTCTGAAGGTCCCCTCCTGGCCCCTGCTGCAAGGATAAGAGGGTCCAGACTGGCAGTAAAGAGGGCTTTCCCTTCAACTTTTACAAGGTGGGAAGGGTGGAGGCCACCAGATCTGTGGGTCTGAAGATGTAAGCATGGCCTCTTACCCCTCAGGTTAAAGGTGCTCCACGCCCAGATCCTGGAGAAGGATGCGGTGATCAAAGTCCTTCAGCAGCGCTCCAGGAAAGACCCTGGCAAGGCCACCCCGGGCTCCCTGAGGCCCGCCAAGTCGGTGCCATCTATCTTCGTGGCTGCAGCAACAGGGACCCAGGGCTGGCCAGGGCTCTCCTCCGGCGAGCGGCAGGTGGATGCCCCTGCCCGGCTGGCTGCAGGTGAGAGGATGCGGGTGGGTGGCATGGCACAGGGCTAGGTTGTTCTCAGGCCTTTCCTCCCAGAACTGAGGCTCAGAGGAGCCAGGGCTTCCCGACCCCTCACCCAGGGGAGCTGGCTTATTCTCTGGCTCCAGTGACACTGCAGCCCGCAGCTTCCCGCGATGTGAAGAGGCATGCTGTAGCCCCCATCTCCATCTCCATAAATTCCACCAGGTTCCACCGGCCTGGCCCCGGCCACTTACCCTAAGTAAAAACAGAGCTCCTTGTGCAGATGCACCTTTGGGGCCAGCCCTTCCGCTCCTCCTAAGCAGATGCCACAGAAATTCAAGGGTCCCTACTGGTTTTAAGATTTAATCCACAACCCTTTAAGAAGGCTTCTTCCACCTGAAGCTTTTGGAACCCAATCCAACCTGGTATTTACCCCCATTTAGAAACAGGAGCATTTAGTCGTAATTAAAGTTCTTGCAGATCAAGAGCCACCTGTACCCCCAGTAGGTTCAGTTAAGTTGGGGTGTTATGGGGGCTGTATCTTGGGGACAAGGCAATAACTATGAGCCTCGTGCCTGTCCAGCAGAGGAACCGGTGGCCGCAGCTCCCCTCGCTGCCCATGCCAAACACGGGAGCCGAGATGGAAGCACCCAGACTGACAGCCCCCCGGACAGCACCACCGCCTGCCTGGGCCTGGAGCCTGACTGCCTTCTAGGGTGCAGCAGTGGCCAGAGGACAGCCTCGCTGGGTAAGTCCCTCATCCCCCCAACACTCCTGACTTGTGTGCAGGGCTGAAGGCAGGCTGAGGTGTGAATTGGACCCCCAGACCCTGCCCCCTCATTGGCCACACTCCCAGCGAGCAGGGTGTGAGGCCCACCTCCCTAGGAATGGGAGAACTGGTTGGATACATGAATAGAGGAACGGACAACCCTAAATTACAGACCGATCCAGCTGGGAGGCACTTTATCAAGTCTTCCTTACCTCTTTAGTTGCCAGTCCAAATAGCTAAGATCATGGAGCTTGGCGAGTTAACCCCTGTGGCGCTCTCAAGTTAGAAGACTTTGTCTAAAGAGAGTCCAGGAAGGAGAAATTGGAGAAGATGCCATTTAATGTGTTTGCTCCCTTTCACATTAGCCTTTGCATATTTGCCTGTGCCTCAGCATTTCAGAAAACCACAGGCACGAAAAGAATGCGGCAGCCTCCCTCCCTGGGGGCTCTCCACCCTCCCCCAAGCCCTCCAACCAGTTCCAAGTTATAAACAAATGCATCTTCCACTCGGGAGGCTGGAAGTCTGAGAGGGAGCAGAGCTCTGTGCTTGGTTGGCCAAGTTCTGGGGACCTGGGGACCCAGGCAGCTAAGGCGAGGCAAGATGGTGAAGATGGATCCTATCTCTAAAATGTGGCAGGATTGGCAAGAGCAGTCTGGTAACGTCCGTTGACCTGTGCCTGTGTTCATGTCTCTCTCCAGATTCTGTTGCTACATCCAGAGTCCAGGACCTGTCGGACATGGTGGAGATACTGATCTGAAGGAGGGGTGCCTTGGGGACTCAGAACCATTCCCCACTCTCCTCTGCCCTCTGCCACGCGGCCATTCCAGCAGCCCCTCCAGCTGCTGCTACCCCACTTTCCCCAACCGGGCACTCGTTCCCATGGACCATCTGGTCCCCGGAGCTGAAGAAGGATGCTGCAGGGGAGAGGGGAGCTGTGAGCACCTGCACCCCAGAAGACCCTGCTTGCCAGCCCCACACTCCTCCTGGGCCCATGTACCATAAGCTTCACCTGCTGCCCAAGGCTTGCTGCCGGGGTAGTAACTGAAAGCTCAGAAGGGAGCCCCCTCGGCCCACCCCTAGTGGGCACTCAGGCCGGGAGGGAGGGGATTTGTTGATTTGACGGGGGCTGATTTCCAAGGACAGCTGCGGTGGACACCAGGTGCGCTGGCTTAGTCTGGCTGAATTGTGGTCCTCCCACCTCATCTGCTCCTCAGCTCCTCACTGCCTTCTTGGGATCACTAAGACATATCTCATGGGGACTGTTGAGGGTGTTAGTCCCGCAGAAGCCACCGCCTCAGCTGCTCAGTGGAGAGGCTTGGGAGGCGCTGTGCAGTTTGTATATAATCCCCTTTCTTGTGGAAGAGAAGATTGAAGCGGGCGGCTGCAGGTGTGCCCCGGTTCCGTGCTCCCACCTCTGCTGCCGCGGTTCCCGTGACTTCTGACCAGCCTCCCAGTTACCTCCCCTTCCCAAGTCCTTGGCCCGTGGCTGTTGATCCTGATGGGTCCACGGGATATTAGCTGTCCTCTTGTCCATCCTGAGCCCTGCTTTATATGCCCATGGGACCCCACCCCCATCACCAGCCTCTTGAAATGGCTCCACAGCTCCTGTCCCTGGGACATCCTGTCAGTTTGGTTACGAACCCTGAGCCAGATGATGTGAGTCACCACACAGGCATTGCCACAGTGGGCTTCCCAGCACTGGCTCTCCTGAAGGAGACTGGAGAGATGGCCTTGTTTTCATCAGAGCCTTTGTTCCCACCTGGAGGGACTGGGAGAGGGAGCTGTGCTGGTGAGAACTAGTCCATGAGATGTGGCTCAGAGGGTCCTCTGAGGGGAGCCCCCGTTGCAGCATGGTGCCATGAGGCTGGCTCCTCTAGCTGCCTGCGTCCAGTGCCCCAAAGCAGGGCCAGCGCTTGGCCAAGGGAGTGAAGCATCCAATGGCAGCCTGCCCGTGGCCGTGACCTTAACTTCTGGTCTTAAAGAGTCCCCCAACTCAGCCCCAGGAGCGATTAGTGGGTTTTAGTCGTTTGTCTTGACTGTTTTTAGTTCTCCATGAATCTTTGTTTTTTCCTTTACTGTTTTTAGGTTTTGTATGTTATTTTATTCCCGTGGTTCCTCGAGTTTCCTTTTTAAACATTTGCATTTGCTGGACAATTGCATATTTTTTTAAATCCACCCCCAACCCCTCTTTAAAGCTGAAAAATGCATTTGGTTCTTGTGCATTGTTTACAAAGCAAAAAGAAAAAAAAAAAGAGAAAAAAAGGCAAAAAAATATTGTGAAAGGAAAAAAAAACAACTTAATATATTTTGGATTAATATTTGGTATTTCTTTTAAAGTATTTTTTTGTGCTGTGAACATTTTCTGCCAAAGACCATGATGTGTGTCTGTATGTTTAAGTTATGGTAAATATTTAAAGTGTAAACATGGCTGTTTTGTTATGCCACCCTGTACCAGGATTGCTGCTGCATTCCATTGGGTATAACAGTATTTTAATTAAATTTTTTTTTAATTAAAAGTGGTGTCTTTTCATCGGTGAGAGGGCGGGTAAGGACTTTGGGGGGCCACCCATGTCGTAGTCCCTGACCGCTTGTGGCACTGAGCTGGACCTCTACTTGCCCACCCCATGATCGGTGCGCTTTGGTTCTTAGACACTGGCTGGAGCATATCCGTGTACAGCCAGCTCAGGGTCACTGCCATGAAGAGTGCCGCTTTCCATTTTCTGATTGTAGGAAGCCCGTGGGTGAAGCAGATCCGTCCTTATTTGCAAGGCTAGGAGGGTACACAAGTGTAATCTCTTCAAGATCCATGACCAGTCCTGGGAATTTTGTGAGGCTGCATTAAGGAGAGTTGGAGTGAGGATGTGGTTGGCTTTCTTCCCACTTTTACATTTTTCTTTCAGTCTGGGAGGGGCCGGCAGATGGGGGGCCTCCCCAGGTAGCTTTGTCATAACTGGCTTTGTCGGCCACATGCTGTGGTTACCCTATAGTAGGTGTCCAAAGGTGGCTTTATCCTCCCTTCCCCCTGCCCATCACAGGGAGTCCTTGTCCTGGACCATCTGAGAGACCGGACACCACGCTGGGACGCGGGGAGAGGGTGTTCATGTGTGTGGCACGATCTTGGGTACCGCCTCCTTCCCTGGAGTTGGCACTTGCCCGAGGCCCAGGAAAACAAATCATTCCAATGCACAAAAGAGCAAACCCTTCCCAATTTCAGGTGTCCTCTAGAGGACAAAACAAAGCCCCTGCCTCCACGGGCCATTCGGCACCCCGAGTTTCCCCATCCAGATGTGGGCTGGCAGTAGAGGCTGACCACCAGGCTGACCACCTGGTGGTCACATGCCTGGTGGGCACGTGATGGGAACAGCCACCCCCGTGGCCGTGAGGGAAGTATTCTCAGGGCAGGTGTCGGGGCACAGCGGCCATGTGGATGAGTAGCCCCGTACGACCCTAGAGGACGGCTTCCTGAGCTGGTCCACCTGTCTGCCCACAGGAGCTGAGCCAAGCAGGTAGGGGAATTTGAAACATTCAAGGACTTTTTGGCCACATTGCAGATGGCCACGGGCCCTCCAGGATGAGGATGGGGAGGTCTCCATGCAGGATTCCCTGCCCAGCATGATGCACCCTGTGGCCATGCCTCCATCCCAGCTCTCTCTGCCCACTTCCCACCCACTGGGCACCATTGTGCCTCTCTTCCTCCTACCAGGCCCCGTCCTGGGATTTGCTGTGTGGCATGTGGATAGGTTGCCCTCCTAGGATGCAGGCCGGTCCTCGGAGGTGGCCTGAACAGCAGAGTTCCTGTTCCCACCTGCTTACCTTGGCCACACCAGCCCACCATGCTAAGACATGGTGTCCAGACAAAATGGTGTTCCAAAGAGCTGTCTAGCAAAGAAGTTTCTGTTCACCTCCACTTGCCCCTTAAAAGAGACACAGAGGGCAGCTCGAACCCATGCAATAAGGCCTTACAAGGGCACCATTCCAACCCCAGCACCTTGGCCAGGGGCTTTCAAAGCATCTGTGCCTCTTGCAGGAGTCACTGTCAAGAGTCACTGTAATATTTCCTTGGCTCAGAGCGGGGTGGGGGTGAAGAAACCAGTGTGCCCAGCACATGTCCGTACATGTGTATTTGTGCATGCGTCTGTGCAAGCGTGTGCCTGAGCATGCGCCCCAGAGAAAGGCGGGAGGGCACGGACAACTTCTAGCTGGGACCCTTGCAGGACAATGGGGCTCTCCAGCCACAGAGTCACCAGTGGGTGTGAGGAGTCTTCACGGGCTGAGCAGTCTTCTCAGTGGCCTTTGAAATTCAGCCTAACGAAGCTCAGGAACTGGTGAGCGGCAGGTCTTGTGTGGTTGGGCTGGCCCTGAGGAGGGGCGTGTTTGCCTGTGTGCCTGGGGTCACCCGTGATGAGGGGGCAGGTCCCCGGGTCCCACAGGTGGCTCTGCTGGGCCCTTGGAGGCCCGGTTCCTCTGTGAGGGACAGTCCAGCTCTGCCTGCTCCTCCCCTCCCCGCCATCCCCCCGAGGGTGGGAAGTTCAACCAGCGGGCGCGCCTCCAGTGCTTTCTGCTCTCTCCCCTCTCACCTCCGGGTTAATCATTAACTTCTCCTGGCCCAAGCAGAGCAGGTGTCAGGCTCAGCGGGCTTGGCGAATGTGCCAAGACGGGGGCAGCAGATTGGGGTCCAGTCTCCCAGAAACAGCTAAAGGCCCTCCACTGGCTCGGGGAACCCCAGCTGGACAGAAACCTCGTTTGCAGTTGTCACCGTCTTGTCTCCTAGCTCGGTGAGGACCCGGCTAGGACGAGGTGGGCCCAGCACAGTGGTCTCTGGGCGTGACTGACAGCTCGAGGGCCCAGAAGCCCCAGCACCACGCAGCGCCTTCGTGGGCCCGCCAGGCCGGGGTCCAACCCAGGGGGAAAGCCCCACAGCACCCACGCGCTCAGCACTTGTTTTTTTTTCATTGAGACATAATTCACATACTATAAAATCCACCCTTTTAAAGTATACAGTTCAGGATATTTTATATCACAGCACCCATTTTAAACCAGCGGTCAACGAAGGGTCATCTGCCAGTGTCCCGCCAGTGGTCCACATGGACATAATTAGAAGTGCTATTTGATCTGGCGTATTCACACTTGTCGGCTCCTTCTTCTCAAGAGGACACTTTGATCTTTCTAGGGCTGACAGCCTCCTTCCAACGGGCCAGCCGGCAGCTCCGCACACCTCCCCTGGGCTGTGGAGAGGACGCTGCCCGCTCTGAGCTGGAGCCCCCCACCATCTGACCCCCAGGCTGCCAGGCAGGGGCCCCGGCCGGAGGTTTGGGAAGAAGGCCCGTCAGCCCTGAGCCCCCAGGCACCCACTGTCTGCTCAAGGTTCTTCAGAGTCGAGGAGCACTGGCAGCGGTGGGCTCAATTTTGTGGGAGCTGAAGTTTCTCTAATTTGAGGGGACCCTCTTTAAGGAGAAGAATGCAAAAGGCAAATACAAAACGAGGTCTAGAGTCTTGGAAGGGGCTCATTCAAGGGAGCTTCTTGAGACACGAGCTTCATTAATCTCCTGGTCAGGCTGCATCTGGGCATTAATGGGGCACCGTTTCTCCCCAGAAGAATGAAGCTCTGGGAGATGCTATGACTCGGGTGCATCCTTGTCCCAGATGAGGCCTGGAGCGGGGGGAGGGGGTCAATGAGGCTGCAGTTATGCTCCAACCCGGGGCACAAGGCTGTCTGCCCTCTGCTCTCACCCACCAAGCAGAGCTCTAGCCCCCAGCCAGAGTTTGGTGAGGCCATGGGGTGAGGGTGGGGACACACAGGCATCTGGCAGTCAGCTCTCCGGGTGCCCTTGGAGAGCCAGGCCACTTGATGGTGGCAGGGCCTGTCCGTCCGCTTTCGATTCTGAGCTAGCCAAATGTCACAAGCTGTTCTCAGATAAATGTCTCTTGCGAGTCCAAAGGCTCCTACCTGGGGCACATTCCAGGTGTGGTTGGGCAACAACGTGGACAATTCCCTGCACTGGTCTGCCTCTTCTTGCATCAATTTGGCCTTCTTTTCCAGCTCCAGGAGGCTCTGCCCCCTCTCTCCTCGGCAGCCAGTGCTTGCTCAACGCGATGCGCGTGGAAATTCTCATAGCGTGTTACATCATCAGCAAAAATACCCAAATCACAATTGTGGAGTGACTAACAGCACAAGGCATGGCTCGAGTTTGCCCTGAGAACGACGGTAACCTTCCCTAATTTAACATAAAGGAAAACAGTCCTCTTTCCCAGAGACTTTTCTCCAAGGCTTGGGTTCTCTGCCTCAGCAAGAGAACTGGCTTCTCTTTACTTCATCCTATCTCTCTGTAAGTGGCCTGGCCTTCTCTCCACACATTCATTCATTCACTCATTCATTCATGTTATGGATGTTTATT